AATAAGGTCCATAGGGTCCCAGCCAAAACAAAGAAGGGTACAAGCTTTACAAAAACTTCAAAGATGAAGTTCTACTATAACAAATGGACTGAAGAAAAAATTACCGATAAAGTCTAAGAGTCCCTCATACAGAATAAGAATAATTCACTATTGTAGAATTATACCCACTGACCAAATTACCGCTTCGTAATTTGGAATATGAGTGCTATAGAGGTTATATGTTTTTGGATCATGTTAGGAATTGGGCTTCTGCAATTGGTGAATCTTCTCAAAAGGTTTCTTTCTCTTTTCCTAAGAGACTACCTACTTCATTATTAATTGTAGAATTAGCTTCTTTTCGCCCTTCCATAGTAGCTTTTTCTTCTTCACTTTCTATATTATTCTCAAAAGAAGTTTCAGATTCCTTAATTTCTTTACCCTTAGGTTCCATATTGGTTATTAGGTCTTCAATATCTTTCTCTTGAAGCTCTTCAGTAACAGTTTGCTTCTCATCACTTTCTGAGTGACCAAAGGAAGTTTTCTAAGCCAGTGTTGTTTCTTGAACTTTAGTCTTATTTGTAATAATTTGGATTTCTAGGCTATCACAATCTTGTTTCAAAATTTCCTTTTTATTATCAGATTCTAATGTTTTGTTCAAAGTTTCCATATTTTTCTTTATATTATGAAGCATAGCCATTATTTGCTGAAGCATATTATTAATATCAGTACAATTCAAATTGCTGCTACTACTTATATTTATTTTTTCACCCTCCACATTATTTTCACTAAACCCATGAACTACATTTAATATATCCCAACAGACTTCCTATGCAACTACCGTTAGAGTTTTCGGATTGATTCTTTTCATCAAACAGGCTTTGTACAACTTACTCTGCTTTATTTTCTACAATAACAACATTCCCATTAGATTTTTCAATTATATTATTAAGATTTCTATCTTCCATGATCTCTCTCTGGTTATTCTCCATATTGCTCAAAAAATTATTAACAAAATCTATACCATTAAAACAAAGTGTTTATTTAAGCTGTAATCTGATTGTTGTGACCTAATTTTTAAAGAATAAGGCCACGCATAGTTGAGTGCCAAAATGTAACATCTCTCTTATATTTTACAAATAATAATAATATTTCAATTTTCTAAACAGCATTCATACCACTAGTATGTCATGTATAAGGTTACTGCAACCGCAAACATGTAATTTATCATTATGACACGATGTAATGTATATAAAAAAAATGAAATAAAAAAAAATAATATAATGTCGGAAGCTCACTTCTTACCATTGGGATGCTTCCTAAATAAATAAGAGGTTGTTTAATAATAAACAAAATTATAATATTTCTCTTTCTTAAATTATATATATTTATCTCAGGTGTGGGTTATTGACAATCAGAACAACTGAGACAAACTATTATTATTTACACTATTTATACTAAAATTAAACACTGATTTTAATATAAAGTCTAGTATGGATTGTCAAGTTAACTTTTTTTCTATATACAATGTTTCTTCCTTTGTGGCACTGAATTCATTTGTTTTCAAACACTTTCCAACGTTTTGCCAAACACAACTTCCAAATTGGTGATACTTTCTTCTACTCAACTCAAACTCCCTGCGAGAAACTCTCTCTTGTAATTCCAAACAACTAGTCTCTCTGCCAAACAACAACTTCCAAGGTGGTAATACTATTACTGGGTTTTACCCACTGGAGCCAGGTCCCTTCTCCTATCCTCTCCTCTTTTGGGACTTTCCTTCCTGGGAAACCACAGAGCAGACATTTTCTTTTCCCTAAACTAGTAGAACTAGATTAGCTTGCCTTTTAATTGTTCAACATTAATCTATTAAGGAGTTCGGTCTAGACCGCTGACTTGGTAACATCGTCTCTGTGCTACATAGTTTTAAGCTTGGAAATTCTACACCTGCGTCGACGATTTTTTGCTCAGTTAAAGATAAAGTGTTGCTGAAGTGGTTTGTAAAATTTAGTGACAATAGTGATATTGTATAATACAATTATAGTAGCAATATCCGACAAATATCAGGACAGGCATCTCTTATCTTCATTGCCGGCTGGATCTGGCAGCTCCCCACCACATCGCTCATATCGTGGAGTTCAAGCTCGAGATATTTATATATTATCAGTTTACAGCTGTGTGATAAATAAATAAACTGTTGATCACATATTTTAATTTGATTGTTTTACCTGAAAATGGCTGCAGAAATTACTTTAAAGGACGTAATGACCCTTCTGAGGGATACAAACAATCAAGTTAAAAAGGGAAACGAGGAGATGAGAACCTTAAAAGAATCGGTGGAATGCTTTCAAATTGAGTTGAACGAACTAAAATCAAAACTAGAAAATTTAGAACGGTCACACAACCTATTAAAAACTGCATTTAAAAACGAAATCTCAAAAAATAACCAAAATATTGATTAAAAAAAATATAATAATAGAGAAAAAAACCTAATATTATATAATTTTAAAAACATCACAAATGAAACGCATAACACGCTGGAAGAGACTGTAGTAAATGCTATAAATAACTGTTTGAAAATTAATCTCAGCCTTTCAGAGATAGACTTGATCACCAGATTGGGATCACCATTAAAACAGAATAGGCCGGTGTTGATAAAATTTATAGCAATGAGAAGAAAAATACAGATTTTGAATGCAAGCTGGCAACTTAAATCAAATATGAAGTTCTCTTGCGATTATACTCCTCAAGAGAGAGTAACCAGGAAAGAATTATGGCCATATATTAAAATAGCTCGTGAAAATGGAAGAATAGCAAAATATAGAGGAGATAGAGCATTTATTGATGGTGTCATTTATACTTTAGAAGAGTTAAAATCTGAAGATTCGAGCAGTAATATAGAGTCAGGAATTGCATCAAAAGACACAGCTGTGGATGAATTAATGAATAGTGATACAACAGAAATAACTAAAAGACAGAGAAGTGAGGAATCCACTCCCGAAAATAAGGCCGAGTCACCTCGGAAAAATGAGATAGAAGATTTGTATAATAAAAAACAAGCCAATAAGAAAATAAATAGTTCTTTGAAATTAAGAAGCAGCAGTCTGGAGAGATATTTCAAACAGGGCACAAATGAGGGCGGCAAAATATTAGGAACCTCTGGTTCTGTAACGAATTCTTGGCAGTTTATAGGCAAGCAGGTTAATAAAATAGTTTATGACAATGGAAATTTCGACAGGATAATAAGTAAAAAGGAAACTAAAAAATTATCACAGATGAAAAAATGGGATTTAATCACCTATAATTGTAGAACATTAATGGCAGATTTTCAATTAACCGAATTGAAAAACGAATTGGAAGTTATTAAATGGTCTCTTACTGGTCTGTCAGAAATGAGGAGATATGGTACAGGCAGTTTGGAGTACCAGGATGGTACAACACTGTATTATAATGGTACAGAAAAAGAGCAAGGTGGAACTGGCTTTGTTATAAAGAGAAATAACGAAAATGAGGTACGGTCATTCAAAACCTACACCCATGGTATTTCTAAGCTATTAATAGAGCTAAATAAAAACCAGAAGACGACACTTAAAATAATACAAGTTTATGCTCCCACTGCAGATGCAGAAGAAAGTGAGATTGAAAATTTTTATTTGGATCTACAAATAGCAATTGATGAGGACAGATATAATCAATTAATATTAATCGGAGATTTTAATTCAAAAATAGGTAGTAAAGGTAACTCAAAATATATGGGTAAATTTAGAATAGGTGAATTGAATAATAGAGGAAAAAGACTAATTGAGTTTGTGGAAGCTAATGGTCTTTACATCATGAATAGCTTTTTTTGAAAAAATCCTAATAACAAATGGACATGGCAGAGCCCAGATAGAAAGACAAAAAATGAAATAGACTTCATAATCATTAAAAATAAGCGATTAGTGATCAATGTGGAAGTTTTAAACCACCCTGACATTGGCAGTGATCACAGACCAGTTGGGGCAATGTTGAATAAAAAGTTCACCATTGTAAAACATAAAAAAGAAAATAGGAGATCCAGTAAAGTTAAATCAGAAAACCTAATAAAATGCACTGTAGACCATATATTTGTGATTAAAGAGTTAATTAAGAAAGCGAATGTCTATAATCTGTCAGTGAGCCTCCTTTTTCTGGATTACGAAAAAGCATTTGACTCCCTAAAAACCGATTCTATTATAAATGTATTGAAAAAGAGAAACATTAGTTCAAGAATATGCAAGATACTGGAAGATATGTATTCGAGATCCAATGCAGAATATAAATCAGGAAAAACAACAGTAAAAATAAAAATTAGAAAAGGTGTATGACAAGGTGATACCCTTTCTCCTAAAATATTTATATCAGTTCTACATGATTTTATGAATTGGCAGAACAAAGGAATGAAAATTTTTGGAGAGTGGCTGAACCATTTAGAGCTTGCTGATGATCAAGTCCTAATAGGTAAAAATATAGAAGAAATCCTAATGATGGCAAACCAATTAATAAAGGCTGGAGAAAACATAGGACTGAAAATAAATTATAAAAAATGCAATTATATGTCAGTGAACGTTGAGGGAGATATAAAAATAGGCGAACATCATATAGAGAAAGTAGATACATTTCTATATCTTGGGCACCTTATCTCAATTAAAGGACAAAATGAAGAAATAATCAGGCGATGTACCCAGGGATGGCGCGCACTCTTCAAATTTAATGATATATATTATATATATTATATATAGGATATAAATTTAAGGATAGATCCTCGGTGAGCTCAGAGGTCAAGAGAAAACTTTGGGTGAGCACAGTACTTCCTGTCATGACATATGGTTGTGAAACATGGGCAATTGACCAGAAGACTTGCCACAAATAGAGGATAACCGTCAGAGGAATGGAGCGATATCTTCTGGGGATAACTAGAAGGGATAGAAAAACAAACAGATGGATCAGAGCTAAGACTGACCTTCCAGATATAGTGGAAAAATGAATTAACATGGACCAGGCAGTTTATGGATTGGTATCCAAGAGAGCACGTGAGGAAGAGAGGACACCCGCCGACAGACTGGGACAAGGAGATGAAGAAGACCTGCGGGGGAGCAGCCTGGAAGAGAGTAGCATTAGAGAGGAAAGAATGGAAAAGGATGGGACAGGTTCATTACCTAGTGTGGTTACAAGAAAGTTAAGTACAAAAAAAAAAAAAAAAATCGAACTCAAAACCTCAACTAAGTTGATTTTGTACATATAATAGATTTTGTATATTTTTATCCATTGTTTTTTCATTGTATGCACAAATAAAGGTTGTTATTATTATTATTATTGTAATCTATTAAACCCTTTTTACTCTCTTCCAATAAAGGTGTACATTACAGTATACAATAACATGCTTTAATATTTGAACCCACTATACTATAAAGTTATAAACATAGAAGGATCTCATAAGATCTTGATAAATCTTGAAAAACTACCAGATTTTGTATATGTAATATTACTTTCAATACCTGTTCAGTTTAAAAAATGTACATATTTAATATACATCTAGAGCAGAGGTCTCCAAACTTTTTTGCCTGCGGGCCACATTGAGATCTTCACTAAGTCCCGTGGGCCAAATTGAGGCCTCCATCTAAGTCCTGCACACCATGGCTGTTTATGAAAACAAATATCTTGTTATATAATATCTGGTGATGAAAGAAACTATCTCTGTTGTATAACTGACACTTCAGTTGTTAAATGAGATATCTAAAAGAAAAGGAACATGTAGTAAATGTGAGTAATTTGTTGAATTTCACATTTTTTAAATAGTTTTTAAAATTTTACCATGTAATCAAAGAAACTCTGATTGGACTAGAAGAGCTTGTCCAGATCTAGCCTGCGAGCCATAGTTTGGAGACCTCTGACCTAGGGTATGAGTACAATATTGAAACAATTAGTACTGACCTAAAGAGTAAAGTAGATACAATTTTTTTTTTAAGGAGAAACAAAGTTGAGATTTGTATTTCACATCTCCAAAAACACTTAAATACGATTTTTCTTACCTATCGAAAAATAAAATTTTTTTGCTGGAAATTTCTGCCTAACTAGAGCCTATTAAATCCAAAAATGTATATATTTTATTTCAAAACACGTATCATTCGTATTTCATTTGTATTTAAATGTTTATGTCTTCCCGTTTCAGCCTTGGCCTTCCTCTTCCGCTCGACCAATACAGATTCTTAGGAATCCATACCCTTTTCCAGAATCCTACGCAGTCCAAATATCTGATCCATTGTGAATTTATCACTTCTAAATCCTGACTGATATCTGTCAGTTTGTTGCTGAGCAAATGGGAGGAGCTTCATAAAAATAACAATTGTAAGCACTTTATATGCGCTTTGTAGGAGTGTAATGCCACGATAATTGTCACATTTCAAGATGTCTCCCTTCTTATCAATTGGGCATATAATACCCTTTCTCCACTCATTGGGTATTTCTCTCCAATCCAGATTGACAAAATAATATTTTAGAAGGCTTTATGCAATATTTTACTTCTGTGTTTCCAAAGTTCAGCTGGAATTCCATCATCACGTGCCTTATTGTTTTTGAGCTTATTTATTACTTCAATGACTTCTTTTGAATTCTGGTGGGTCAATATCATCTTCTTCATAAATGTCTGTGCCCGATTCTGCTTCAATCTTCCATTTAGAAATGAGTCAAAGTGTCTCACCTTATCAGTACATTAGCCGGAGCCATCCTCATTTCTAAAAGCTATTATATAAAGTTTGAACGGATCTTTGCTCTGTTTCACCAAGGAGTAGAACATTCTGACATTTTTCAAACCTCTATATTCCTGTATTTTTCCAAGTATCTGCAACTCCCACTGCTTTTTAGTTTCACTTACCTATACCTGCTGATTCAGCATGATTCTGTACTAAATAATATTAGCATGTGTTGATGGTTGAAACACCATCCATCCCTGATAAAATATTTCTCTGATAGAATTAAATTGTATCACTGTCTTTAGTAATGTTTTGCCCACACTACATCCTTTTATTGACTGTCTTTTTTCAAGATTCAGCCAGTCAGTAGAAGGATGTAAAGTGGGCAAGACATTACTTAATACAGTTATGGTATGTTCTACTATACCCTATAACATAAGATAGTTCCTTATGATCATATAACAAACCAGCATGTTTATCAAAATACAGTTACCAGTAATAGTGAGGGTAAAAATTAGGAAATAAAATCAAATAGGGCTTACTTAATAAGTAAATTTAAGAATATTTTATTTTTTTTTTAAATAAAATTAATTGATTTTATTATTTATTATCTCTAGTTGCGGACAAGAGGTCGATATAACTCGTTACCTTCATCTATCAGCAGGGTAAGTTACATCATATATTAGTACAAAATATTTTAACTAGATATGAAGAAATAAAACAGACTTGTTTTTACCTTGTCCCTTAGTAAGAAACTTTTCATTCCGAAATTCATAACCCGATCGAAAATGTTACCTCCTCAAATATTCAAAAATCCATCAAAATATGTCCCCCACAAAAATTTTGATTGGCACAACTTGCGTGTTACTAGTTGCACCCCTGTATGAAGGAGAAACCTAAAGGACAAAGACCTGTGAGACTACCTAGATGACTTGCTGGGAACACCTCGAAGAGTTTAGAAAGATGATAGGAAAGACATGGGTTCAAATGTGTCAAGTGGCCGAAGAGAGAAATGAGTGGAGAAAGTGGACTGAGGCTCACATTCGACATTGAAAGGCACAAGCGCAAGGGAGAGAAGAAGAAAACTAAAACTAAATTCTCGTCTGAAATAAAAATGAACCTTCTTAAAGTGTAATGTTTTTGTATTAAAATAATCATTTAATAAAGAAAAAAGTATCCTCTAAGAGAATGCCAATTAGGAAAGTCTAATAAAAATCTAGAAGTAAAATAACTTTTAAAATAAATATCGTAAATATGAAAGACCTCCCCAGAGATTAGCTGATGTGCAAGGCTAGTGGGGATTAACGCTCTCACAGTCCCGCGAGTTCAGTACACTGCACAAACACACTCAAAACAATACACACTATACATACGCTGACATAAGGTCACATACATTACACAACCTAGGGTCACCTATCCTGGGAGGACCCTGTGGACGAGGGTATAAATTGTCCCCAGTCGTCTTGAGGTAACGGGGCCTCTATCACTGGGCCAATCACCCGTAGTGGAATAAAACTGATTCAGAGCAAACAAACTTGCCTCGGAAACGGACGGACAAATCGGTCACGATACGGTGCTCTAAAGGACATAAGAGTTGGAACATGGAATATTATAACATTGAATGGCAAGGAAACAGAGATCGTGGATGAGATGAAGTCATATGGTGTGGATCTAACGTAATGAGCATATGTGAAGTGAGGAAAAAAGGGCATGGAGAAGTACGTCTGAATGAGCTACATATACTCATCTACTCTGGAGTTCCTGCAGGTTTTAGAACAAAGCAGGAAGTGGGGATTATAATGAAAGAAAGCCTATTTTCCAAAGTAGAGGACTGGAAACCTATATCTTCCGGAATAATAATAGCAAATATAGAATTGTCAATTGGTAAAATAACTCTGATTCAGATCTATGCACCAACAGAAGATGCAGATATTCTAGATAAGGAACAATTTTATACGGATCTCGAAAAAGAAGTCGCAAAAGGGCAAAACAGAAACAGAGACTTTAAACAGAAAACATAAACAGAGATAATTATAGTTGGAGGCTTCAATGCCAGAGTTGGATGGGCCTATACAGTCGGACACGAGCTATGGGTTATCATAAAGGTGTGCACACAAGAAATAGAAAGGCTTATAGATTTCTGTGTTGATTATGATCTATTCATTGGAAATTCCTTCTATCCACATAAAACAATCCACAAAATAACATTCTCTGCAGAGAAAAGAAATGCAAATAGTATAATAGACTACATTATATACAGTCGAAGAATCAGGAAACTGTTTACAGATATCAAAGTAATCAGAGGTGCCGAGATGGCTCAGACCACATTCTCCTTATAGATACTCAAATCCTTTCTCCCAAGAAGTTGCCCAGAACCTATATGAAGATTAACATTAAGAAACTTCAGACACCTGAAAACGAAATAAAAGAAATATAAAAAACTTCTTAATAACAATATTCAGGAGGTCAGGGTGGATGGAAATGTGGACGTTCTGTGGGAAAAAATAAAAAATGCAATAATGGACTCAGCAACCATGACTTGCGAGATTACAAAAATCTCACCGAAAAGCAAAAGATCAGAATGGTGGAATGAAGGAGTGAAGGCAGCACTTAAAATAAAGAAAACTGCTTGGAAGGACTATATTAGAGATAAGATTCCAGTAAATTGGGAACTCCACGTACGCAGAAGAAATGAGGCGAAGTTAGTTGTTAAAGTGGCCAAAAGGAAGAGATGGGAGGAATTTTGGAGGAGCCTACAGAGCAACTACCATGACAATGTTAAGGTTTTCTGGAAAAAGCAATAAAAACAAAGAAAAGTAAGCCCATAAGAAATATAAAGGATGAAAGAGGTGAATTAATCACCAGAGATATAGAAATTCTGGATAGATGGAAACGCCACTCTGAGGACATTTTCTCAAGCAATGATGCTGACAATAAGTTGGATATGTGTGAAACTCCTCTACAAGAATTTGACGAGATAATCTGGAAGGAAGAGGTCGAAAGTGCAGTAGAAAAACTAAAGAATGGTAAGGCAGCTGGTAGGGATGGTATTGTGCCAGAATTTATTGAACACGGGGGGAGGACCTGAACTGATGGAAGCCCTACAATGCCTCTTTCAAAAAATATTGACTAAAAAGTTATTTCAGAGGATTGGAAATATAATAATATTGTTCCAGTACATAAGAAAGGAAATACTAGCGAATGTAGAAATTACAGACCTATTTGTCTTTCACAGGTTGTATATAAGATATATACTTCAATACTGGAGAAGAAACTTAAAGCAATGGTGGAGGAACATTTAGAAGAGGAGTAAGCTGCTTTCAGGCCTCACCGTCAAACCCAAGACCACAGGAAAATCTGCAGCAAGCTGTGGTCGAGTGGGTGGGAGGTTGAATTAGCAAGAAAGGGTATAGCAATGAATGTTGGAAAGAGCAAAGTAATACAGATTGGACGGGATCAGGAGGTTGTTGAAATTCATTGCAAAGGAGAGATAGTGGGCACCATGCACCATGGAGGACTACACATATCTAGGTGCAGTAATAAACAAGAACGGAAGGGTCGACCATGAAATTTCCAACAGGATTAAAAAGGATGTGTATTACAGCTTATGCAATACAGTCATTGGGAAAAGGGAGGTAGATAGGAATATAAAAATACATATTTTTAAAGCGGTATATCTAACAACTCTTATATATGGGAGTGAAAGCTGGGCCCCATTAACCAAACACCTTAGCAGAGTTACTGCTAGTGAAATGAAATATCTTCGAAGGGCAGCCGGCCAAACCAGGAGAGACCAGATCAGGAATGAAAAAAACAAGAGACGACCTAGTTACTGTCTCACTAAAGGATTCTACAGAAAAGAGGCAGCTGAGATAGTTTGGGTATGTGTGCCGAATGAATGAAGACCGTGACCCACAAAAATTCATGGAGGCGAGACCTGTAGGAAAGCGCCGAAGAGGAAGACCTAGATTGTAGTGGATGGAGTACATCTCCCAGATCGGGCAGAAAAGAGATATGCGGATAAGGGATATAAGGGCTCTAGCTCAGAACTAAAATGCTTGGGATGCATGGATTGAGGCACCTCCACGCTGAAAGGCATGAAGAAGGTATAGAAAGAAGAAGAAAAATATGGAAGACGTAGAAAAATAATTTATTTATTGTAAAATAGTTATTACGTTTAAATAGGTAGACTGTGCAATAATAATCAAAGTAAAAGAAACCACTCTTCTTCTTATAGTCTCATACATTTATATTTAAGAGCTTTCAATTCCATTTTCGAAATGAAGTAAACGAGCATTGTTAAGGTGTTTGGAAATATGGGTGGATTCCTGAGTGAGAATTAACAAATTTAATGTATAACTTTTCTAATTTATTGTGTGGTTTTATATGTATATTGTATAATTGTTGTGTATTTAAACATTTTTTAGATGAATATGGTGCAGAGCGCCAAAAGCTCCTAAACATAAATATATGAGACTATAAAAAGAAGGGTGTTTTTTTCTTACTTATTAAACAGTTATTACTTTCACTTCCATTAGTCTGAAAATACTTATTTCTGCTAAAAAAAAAAGGGTTGTAAGTGAAAGTTCTGTGATGCCCACACCGCATCGGATGTTTATGTTAATTATTGTTAAGCTCCCATGCGCTTTTAGATGAAAAGTTAGAATGAAGCTTAACTAACAAATGAAAAAAAAAGAAAATAATTGTATGATAAAATAATGAACTGTATAAAATTGAAAACAAATTGAACAACAATCGACCTATAAACATGACCAACTGTACATTACCAATTAAAGCAGCTGATTTCATTTTTATTTTTTTTTAATGTTTTTTTAAATTAAAATAAATTGAAAATTAAATATTTAAACTTTAAAACTAAATGAAAATACAGCAAAACAAATTTATTAACTAAAAGAGCTTAATAAATTAACGCTGTGAGCGTCAACCTTCTTTTACTATTTGGTTGCATATTTACTGGCGGGTCTAGGAGAAGGAAGTGGAGTACGCACCCTCCCCTCTTGATGAGAAAAATTTTATCTTGATAAAAGTTACTAAATAACAGGTGTTATCATTATTATTACAACCATTGAGGAATAAATTTTACTGAACAATTAATTTTTATTTTGTTATTCATATTGTAACGGATGTTTTAAAACGTTTAAATAATTAGCTATAATGCAACTGGATTGGATGAGTGGGTTAAAGTGCTACGAATAGTCTGAGAACCATAACAAAAACTTGACATTATTCGAAGACAATATCGAAAGCAATTTTTTGAATATTTATTTTCATTATTTATTTGATTTATATTAATTATTAAAAGTTTTAAGAATTAACTGTCATGTGACTGAAGTGGACGAACGGGTTAAGGGCTTGGAATAGTCTGAGAGCCAATGCAGAAAAATTGACATTATCTGAAGACAATTTTGAAAGAATATTTATAAATATTTATATTAATTATTAAATGTTTTGATAATTAGCTATTATGTGGCTAATTATTAAATGTATTAGCTATTATGTGACTGGAGTGGACGAGCTTGTTAAGGAATTGGAATAGTCTCAGAGCCAATAGAAAGCACTTAAAGCGCTTGGAATAGTCTGAAAGCCAATGCAAAAAATTGACATTATCTGAAGACAATTTTGAAAGCATTTTTTAAATATTTATGTTAATTATTAAATGTTTTAATAATTAGCTGCTATGTTACTGGAGTGGACGAGCATATTAAGGAATTATGGAATAGTCTCAGAGCCAATAGAAAGAAATTCACATTATCTGAAGACAATTTTGAAAGCATTTTTTAAAATATTTATAACGTTTATATTAAAAAAACAAGAGTCTACTACCAGTGAGATCATGTAACCTGTAAAAATGGTGGCTGATATAAATAATATTAGGCCAGTAACTTAAGGATCAAAACGGGAAATCCATTGAGAAAAATATGTGAAAATATTTTAACTTATATGTATGGGTTTGTAAAAAACAAAAACATGTAAAAAACAAAATTGCTCAGGCAGGCCACCAAGGAAAAACTTTTTACAGCCAAAAAAAGCCAGATTTTGTCGACTTTTTTCTTTTCTTCTTCCATTTTTTCAACGGTGCTTTGAATGGAAAAACATATTCTTTAAGAAATTGAAAAACGATAAATTGTGAACGACTACTTAAATTTAATAATTGGATGAAGTGGTAGCTTTGGCTCGGTTAAAAATGCAATTCAAAAATTTTATAATAGTCTAACATGGCCAGAAAATAATTTCTATTCAAAGTTGAACAGTAAGTGAAAGTTGTATGTTGCACGCACCAGATTTTTTAAATAAAACATTTCATGTATATTATATATTAAATAAAAATATTACATAATCACTATAGAACATATCATAAAAAAAAAGGTTGGGTGTGCCCCAGGAGAATCTCCGGGTCAGGAGGGTCTCCTGATCCCAGGGTCGATTCACAGCTAATGAAAAAATTTCTAGTCATCAGCCGGATTTGAACCTAGGACCTTGAGCTCTGGAAGTCAGTGCTCACCCACTGAGCTACACCGGTCTGCCTTACCCCAGTAGCGCCAAATATTATTATTATTGTATAGGGAGCGATGTAGCTCAGTGGGTCAGCACTGATTTCCAGAGCTCAAGCTCTCAGATTCTAATCCAGCTGATTACTAGAAATTTTTTCATTAGCCGTGGATCGACCCTGAGATCAAGAGACCCTCCTGGGGCATACACAGCATTTTTTTTACTATATATTCCATAGTGATTATGTAATATTTTTATAATATACATGAAATGTTTAATTTTACAAAAAAACTAGACAATTCCCAGTTGTCGTAATGGAATGGAGTGAAGAAATATTGTTTGGAACAGGGCTTGAAATTTAACCAATTGATTCCTTGCCCAATAATGACATGAAAAAGTGAAACACCTATTATTCACATCTATTATTAAATTCATTTCCTACTACTACAAGAAATGTTCGTAGTTGTAGAAAGGCTAGACTTAAAGTGCATTATTCCCTGCATTGCATGTTAGGGTCTGCCTTGTGAAAATGTGTATTACTTTGGGACAGTGAATGAAGTTGAGAAGGTCTGATTATTTTTGGAACAAATATCAGAATTGTTTGATACTGAACACTTGGTGACAGGATGTAATATACTCGTAGATATAGAGGAAGAAGAGACAGAAATTTAAATATAAACCAACCTTGTTAAATAGCAAAGTTACAAAAGTTTTTTTTTCGTCTCATATTATAGTGGTACAGTGTATAAATAACCCATCACATTCCATACATATTGTAATGTCAACATTAGATGGTATATTAAATAGTGGCGTGAAAGTGGTAAATACACGAACTACGGGAAGCAAGTGGTGGGGGAAGCAAGCCTCATGTAACTCAGACTGCGACGGGCCGTCAAGAGGGAAGGTGCTAGCGGCCAAGAGAGAAGATTATGAGCCGCCAAGAGAAAATGTGACAAGCTGTCAAGAGAGAAGGTACTAGCCAGCAATTTGAGAAAATAGAAAGAGCCACAAAGTTTAGACTGGAACAATCAAGGTTTTTGAATGTATGATTTCTTAATGTATGTATCTCGTTTCTTTATATGTATTTAGTAATTAGTAAATTATAGTTATTAATTGTTGAATGAGTGTTCAGTTGTCAGAACCCAACCTGAAATTAATGTTATGTGTTAAAATAAATAATATATTCTAAAAGTAAACTCGTTGTTTGTTTTGGTTGACAAAGGGAACGTTACAACATGGCGCCCAACGTGGGGCTTTTGAGTACGTTAGAATATATTATGTAAATACATGATTCGGCTCCTTTAATGTAGTCTATTTTATTAACAATATTGTTCAGTTATTAACAGTTTATCATGAATGAGTTTTTAATGTAATGTTTTTGTAATTTATTACTTTTTGCAGACACCGAATCAACCATCAGACTTATCATTTCCTTCACCTTCCTTAATGAGAGTAAGTTACTTTACATTAAAGGGAAAAACTATAGAAATGAAAAATGTAAAAAATTAACAGCTGATGAATTTTTAATGTAATATTTTTGTAATTTATTAGTCTTTGCAGACATCGGACAATACAGTACGCTGGTTTATTCCTTCAACTACTCTTGCCGAAGTAAGTTACTTCATATTAAAGGAATAAAATTATAGAAATGAAAAATGTAGAAAATTAACAGTGTATTATTAGTGAATTTTAATGTAATATTTTTGTAATTTATCACTTTTTGCAGGTATCGAATCGAGCACTAACGTTTACAGTTCCTGTAACTTCCCTTCCCAGAGTAAGTTACTTCATATTAAAGAGAAAAATCTTAGAAATGAAAAATTTAAAAAATTAACAGTTTATTATTAATGAGTTTTTAATGTAATATTTTTGTAATTTATCAGTTTTTGCTGACATTGGATGACCAGATACGTTTTTCAATTCCTTCAACTTCTTTTGCCAGAGTAAGGATAAAAATCATAGAAATGAAAAATGTAAAAAGTTAACAGTTTATTAATAATGAGTTTTTAATGTAATATTTTTGTAATTTACACTTTTTACAGACACCGAATCAACCACCAGACTCATCATTTCCTTCAACTTCCTTTGGCAGAGTAAGTTACTTCATATTAAAGGAAAAAATCATAGAAATGAAAAATGTAAAAAGTTAACAGTTTATTATTAATGAGTTTTTAATGTAATATTTTTGTAATTTATCACTTTTTGCAGGCTCCAAATCATCCGCCAGATTTATCATCTACTGCAACTTCCTTTGCCAGGGTGAGTTACATCATATTAAATGACAAAAGATTAGAGTAAAATTCATTTGCACCTTAGAAAAACAATTTTGAATTATTAATAAAATATTACATTTATTTTAAAAAAAAGTTAATAATCAACTTCTGATGATAATAAATGATAATTACTATTTCTTACAATTTTCCTCAGAACTCTCTTTTTTAATTTATTTATTACCAGATCGGCCTGGTGGGCCTTACATGGTTGTTGTAACAATTTGATGATTTTTAACAATTGTTCTGGTGGGGTATAGTCTTTGCAAAAGACACCCCTAACTATTTATACATTATAATTATTGAATAATTACAATTAATAAAGAAAAAATTATTAATTGTTCATAACATGATGTCTTGGATCAGTCTGGGCTTCAGTCTTCGAGATGAGGTTGGGTTTCCTAAGTTGTAGGCCACTGCACCTTTAACTGCTGGTAGCTGCGTATGGATTTTTTTAAATGTTTTTTTGATGAATTCATCTATTGTTTCCAATTTTAGTTCTCGATGTAGTTGAGCGTTTCTTATGAACCAGGGGGCATCTACTACAATTCTTAATACCTTGTTTTGAAAGGATTGTAGTTTTTTTCTTTTCGTAGCTGAAGCGGCGCCCCAGACTTCACATCCGTACATTAGCAAGGGTCTTAGTATGGTTTTATGAATAAGAACAGTTGTCTCTGGTTTTAAACTAGATTTTCTATTTACTATGGGATATAACATTGCTAACCTTGCGTATGTTTGGGTCAGTTTATTATTTATATGGTAATTCCACGTAAGGCGGCGGTCCAGATAAACTCCGAGGTATTTTACTGCTTCACTAGCTGGGTTCCATTTTAGTTCTTTATTTTTGAGAATCAGTTCAGGTGGGTCTGAGGGACGTCTAAGAGTAAAAATTTTTGCTGTACATTTTTCGGTGTTGAGACAAATCATCCATTTTTTTAAATATTGTTCTAGATTTACTAGGTAAGACTGCAGTGTATTTCTGGCTATTAATATATCATTGTGTTGGGAAAAGACAGCTGTATCGTCGGCAAACATAGCTATGGAGGTGTTTGTGGATTGGATAATGTCGTGAACATAAAAGTTAAAAAGTATGGGAGAAAGAACAGAACCTTGTGGGGTGCCGCCATGGATTTGTCTTAAGGTTGAATTTATATTATTTATTCTAACTGTAAATGTTCTGCCGTTGAGGAATGAGCTCAGAACGTCATATAAATATTTGGGCGTGTCCACTTTCTTTAGCTTGTACAATAGACCACAATGCCAAACCTTATCAAACGCTTGTTGAAAGTCTAAAAACGTGACAAGAGTATGTTTTTTCATTTCAAATCCATTTACTATGAATTCTGATAATCTTGCCAGTTGGTGTGAAGTGGAATGACTATACTGAAAACCAAATTGAAAATCAGGAATAATCTCAGAACTCTCAAATCTGCAAATCTTTCACTCTATCGGAAAGTACCCCTTATCTAAATAGTCATTAAAGATGTTCAATAACCTTTCCTCAATGTAGAGGCCACTGTTCAACTTCACCTATAAAACAAAAATTGATTTGTTATCGTCTTTCTGAAAATTAATTTTCAGTCTTTGGTATGAAGCCACTCATAAGAACACAAAAGTTTTGAATAATTAATAAAAAAAAATCATAAATTATTTTCTGGCAATGTTGGGCTATTAAAAAATTTGTGAAGTGCATTTAAAGCAGAGCTAAAGCTTAAAGCTTGATGATAACAATTCATTAAGACCATGAAAATTACAAAAAGGCTTATTGTATCTCCGTCTCGTCGTTGGTATCCTCCTGTTGTCTTCTCGAGGGATGTCGGGATCCCCCTGTCTTACATCGCAGTTTGTATCAAAGTCTTCCGTGAAGTCACTTCCTAATTTTACTGCATGCTTCGAGCCTGGCACCATCATCTTCAAGAGACGTATCAGTTTAATTGGGACGTTCATTTCCAACAAGGTTTGATAGAGTTCATTTCGAGTTGCACTATTGTAGGCGGCTATACAATCAACGGAGAGGTGATCGGTAATTGTTCTATACTCTTTGCATTTCTCCAACATCAGCCTCAGTGAGAACAGAGAACAGGGACCTCGCTCGTCAAATCCCGCTTGATATTTGTCTATTTCCCTCTCGGCATGAGGAACTAGTCTCTCAAATAGAATGAAGAAATCTTTATAAGCACATGAGAGGAGCACCACGATCTGAATTTAATCTGAACAACAGAAGGAATTTAATTATGTATTAATAAAATAATTGCTGTTTTCGTTTGCATTTACGAAAACAGCAATTATTTACGAAGCAAGCCCTGTCCCTAAATGGCCTTGCATGGGTAGGGGGTGCCTTTTGGGACCTCTGATACCCAGCGACAAGAATCATCTACAAGGGAGTTGTGCTGGGTATACTGAGGTATGCATCACCAGCTTGGAGCCGTCGTCTGGTGAGCACACGCCACTGATTTTTCGCATTTGGCCATTATGTGTCCATAGGCTAGACACTTTAGGCAGTGGGGAGCGTTCAGATAGTCTTTTATATCTAGGGTTCACCATCCTCCTCCTATCCTCTCTTCTCTGAGGATGTCCCTTGCTATAGGGTGGACCTCAATCACCCACCTCCTCTTTAGGCCATCTCTGTCAAGGAAAGGGAAAAATGACCTAAGCCATTCTTTACCCTCCTTCTGGTCAGGTCTCTTCAGGCCCCCTGATTCCAGTTTATGCCACAGGGCTCTTTCTAGGTCTCTGCTTCCCAGTCCTTGGGAACTCCTTTCACCTCTAATTTGGGCCTCTTAGTCCTAGCCAACCTAGTTATTAAACCTTTCTCTCCTATAGTCTTCCACTTTATGAGTTTCATGGCCTGGTCAGACCTCCTCGTTTTGACCAGGACGGCCTTGCCAGCATGAGTGACTTTCACTACTTCCACCTGGACACCTGCCCTGTGAGCTCCTCATCGCTTGGGAGCTGCTTCCATATCTCTGTAGGGTTCCGGTTGTCTACAGTACCTTTAATGGTTACATAAGCAGGAACCTCGTTCGACCCGCCTGCTGTCCCTTTGGTGCTTACGTTTTTAAGCATATCCGAGTAAGTCAATTGCTTGCTCACGCATTACAGGTGCAGAAGAAGAAGATGACCACCATCCAAAGGCTCCCCTTGATGAGGACGACTAGGACTTACCGTGTCCCACGAAGCGGTGCAAGTGCTGGCCGGGGAGTTGCCTCTGTACACGGTGGGCCAGACCCCCTTACCGTGCACCCCCCCCACATCCCTATAAATTGCATATCGTTGTGTTCCTTGTAACAATTTATTAAAAAAAAGCCAATGTTCCCACAAAAAAAAGTGAACGCACTGCCCCAAAATGGCGTCCAAAGATGGCGGATTGACGACTTTGACTTTAGTTAGTTTTTTGGTCACTGAGAATCAGCATTTAACTTAATTTCCTCATAGTTGGTCTTTTATTAAAGCTGAATAGTCATGGAATAATAAAACATGAAGAAATATTAAAAAATAATTGGTTTAGGCTACGAAAAACACCAGTAAAGTCAAATTTTTTTTCAAAAAAATTTTCAAGTTACGAATCAAGCGTCGTTTGTAATTAAACGGCCTACAATAACGCAAAAAAAGCTGAAATAAAACATCTGGAGAATATATTTTTCTTTCTAAAACACTGATTATTCTTTAAAAAATTTTAAACAGTTCCGTAGAAAATGTACTTATGCGGCAGAAAAGCGGTACTGGGGTGGGTGCCTACAGGCCTCTACAACACCATTCAGTACACATAAATGGCTTAGTTATAGTGATATAATAACATTTTTGGTACATTATATTGGTTTTATTAACGAACAAATATTAATGCAATAATTTAATCGTAAAAAAAAAATTAAATTTTTTTAAAAAAATTATTATTATTTTTTTTTAACTTAAACTACTTTATTCTATACGTAGGTCGTTTAAGAAGACCTCAATTGTAAAAATGATAATAATGAAACTTAATTAAAAAATACATTGCTAAATATCTTGATTTTTTTTTATTTAACGTTTGCAATTTAACACTGTGTTTTGTATATTTACTGATTCTTAGAGGTAATTATCATTTTTATATACTTCCCAGGAAATGAGTCATATTAATACCTGTTTTATGAACCAAAATTATATATACCTAATCTGAACTATATATAATGAATAGCTACCGGGTTGTTTAGTAAAACTCATATATCACTAATTAAAAAATTAATTTTTATTTCCAAATCAAATGAGGAAAAACGCAAAATTGAACCAGAAAATTGGAAAAATACATTAAGCGAACGAGAAAGGAAGTGCAAAAACCTCGGAAAAATATAAAAAGGACATCAGTATCCATTATATAGCTAAATGAATGTTTAGGAGACAGATGAACAGAATATTTCAAGATGCTGCTAAAAGGGAGTCAATTGCAGTTTGGATGATATTAAGTGGAAGATGTAGGATTATTATGGTGAAAACCTCTTTATTTTTGATTGCTGAAGGTGCACATCGGGACTATCTTCACTTTGAAGCAGGATATAGAGAGGTATATCGAGAAAGTTATAGCTCTTCTTCTGTTTAGTGCATTTGCATTTTTTTATGATATGGTACAAATTCCAAACAATTTATTCCGCAATTTCTGCACAACAACGAGCTATAGCTAATATAAGATTCCTTAAAAAATCTTTTGCAAATGCACTAAACAGAACTATGAGCTATAACTTTCTCGATATACCTCTCTATATCCTGCTTCAAAGTGAAAATAGTCCCGATGTGCACCTTCAGCAATCAAAAATAAAGAGGTTTTCACCATAATAAACCTACATCTTCCACTTAATATCATCCAAACTGCAATTGACCCCCTTTTAGCAGCATCTTGAAATATTCTGTTAATCTGTCTACTAAACATTCATTTAGCTATATAATGGATACTGATGTCCTTTTTATATTTTTCCGAGGTTTTTGCACTTCCTTTCTCGTTCACTTAATGTATTTTTCCAATTTTCTGGTTCAATTTTGCGTTTTTCCTCATTTTGA